CCAGAGCTAAGGAATCCTCAGTCCCCCGTGAAGAACCATCCCAGGGGTGCCCACCTGCTGTGTTTACAGATCACAGTTACACTAACAGCTGGACAGGGTTCCGGCCAGGGCAGCTCACCCACAGCCCGCCTCGTGGTGAGCCCGTGCACTCCTTGTCTACTGACCTTGTTGGTTCCATGTGCCTTGGGAAATTGGAGCCTCGTGTGGTGACACATGCTTGTCATTCCAGCACTCAGGAGGCTGAGGCAGGAAGATCGCCATGAATTCACAGCCAGCCTGAACTACATAGCGAGACCCTACCTCAAAACAAGCACCAAGCAGAGTTGACTCCTTCCAATTTTGCTCTATTTGATAGGTTGGAAAACCAAGGCCCAGAGAGTGAAGTAGGCAGGATTCCCTAGGGCTGCTCCTGGGAGTCCCTGCACTCAGCGGACCCCGCGAGGCAAGTGGCCTCACCCCGTCCAGGGGCAAGTGACACAGAAGGAGGCCCCGGCGCTGACGCGGGCTTGCTGTGTTTCAGTGCTCCGTGCCCTGCGGCGTGGGGCAGAGAACCCGAGACGTGAAGTGCGTGAGCAACCTGGGCGACGTGGTGGCCGACGAGGAGTGCAACATGAAGCTCCGGCCCAACGACATCGAGAACTGCGACATGGGGCCCTGCGCCAAGAGCTGGTTCCTGACCGAGTGGAGCGAGAGGGTAGGTGCCAGGCGCACTGTTGCGGGGTCCCGAGCAGGGCGCTGGCTGCGGACCCCAGGGCTGATGGGCGCGGGACTCGAGAAGAGGCCCGGGTTTCGTTGTTCCAGGCTGTGTCCTCTCTCGAGGGCTGAGGACTGGAGGCGGAGAAGAGAATGTGAGAAGAACTCGCTGGGTCTCCTTAGCGACTTCACTAAACAGTGACACAGGAGGAGGATTTAGCTCAGCGGCACAGTGCCTGCCTGGCGAGCGGGAGGTTGTGAGTTCGATTCCCTGTACTGGAAAAAAACAAAACAAATTATTTTAAAAAGTGACACAGGAAATGTAGTGAGCGACAGCCTCACACCTTGCTTCGTCCTGTGCCTGCCGCGGTATAATGGGCTTCAGCCAATGGTAGGCGCCTTCTCAGCTTTTGGATAACTAAAAAACGCTTAAATCCTGTGCGCCCCCTAGCGGCCTGGCCTCCGTAAATCGTGAGTTTGAGACCAGCCTGGAGTGCATAGCGAGACCCTGACTCAAAAAATCAAGAAAGTTACCGGGTGTGGTGGTGCATGCCTGTAATCCCAGGAGGCTGAGGTAGCAAGACCTTGTCTCAAAAATGCAAGCAAAAGGGCTCACAAGGGGCGACCACTGGAGTGGAGCGAGCTGAGGGTGAAGTTGGGGAGGAGGCGCAGGGAGAGGGACCTCCAGGGACCCTCACACTTCCAGGGACCCCTGGACCACGTGTCTGCCCTCTAATGTGCCTCCTCCTTGTCCCGCAGTGCTCGGCCGAGTGCGGGGCCGGCGTGCGGACGCGCTCCGTGGTGTGCATGACCAATCACGTCAGCAGCCTGCCCCTGGAGGGCTGCGGGAACAACCGGCCAGCCGAGGCCACCCCCTGCGACAACGGGCCCTGCGCGGGCAAGGTGGAGTGGTTCTCGGGGAGCTGGAGCCAGGTGAGTGGCCAGGGACAGAGCCGGCGTGAGGTGGGGTCTGTCCCTCGCCAGAGGCAGCAGCTCAGCAGAGGGGTTAAGAGGCAGGACTTCAAGAAAGGTGTCCCAGCTTTGAACCCAGCTGAGCCGCTGCTACCCCTGACCCTGGAGAAGACGCTACCTGGGCTATTGGCGCTGCATTGTCAGCAGAACTCAGCCACGACCTAGTAGGTGCTCATTTAAGCACTCGGGTGACACCCAGCATCCCTGCCCTCGGGAGCGTCTGGCCTGGCACAGTTTCCTTGTCTCTAAGATGCTGGGGATGAGGGCTGCACATGAAGTTGTGAAATATGGCCCCTAAGATGTCAAAGCGCCAGACATACATGAAACACAGGAAGTCTTAGCAGCTGCTGCTGTTGCTGCTGCTGGCACCAGGAATAAAGCCAGTTTTGCCCACACTTTAGTGTCAGAAGCTAAAGTGGGGGAAGTCGCAGTTGCACATTATAAAGAACAGGTGAGGGCCAGGGAGAGAGCTCAGTGGTGCAGTGTCTGCCTGGCAAGCGCAAGGTCCTGAGTTTTGATTCCCCGTACCTAAAAAAACAAAAAAGAACAGGTGATACCAAGTGCTTAGTAAAAAAATGAATTGATGAGTTCAGTTTTTCCCTCCCTGCTCCAGTACTGCATGTAAATCCTTTCAGGAAATGGGAATAGTCATTCTCCGCCTGCCTCCTTGCAATTACTGCCACGTTCCAGTTCTCGGGCTGCCTAGCGTCTGGCCTGCAGTGCTGCCCGGCTCTACAGGGACATTTTGGCCAATGCCCCTCATGTGCACATTTCTGGGGCCTCTGGCACCATAGAGAATTGTATTTCTTAAGTCACTTTAAAAACAGACCTTAAAAAATCAGCTGCCTTGTCCTTCTAAATCACTACAAGGCCTTTGGAAAGCAATTTGGCAATAAAAGTCAAGAACCACAAAAATACTCATTTGCCTGGTGAAGGAAATAGTCACAAAAGGAAAAAGGGTTTTTCAGCTGGACATGGTAGCTCATGCCTGTAATCCCAGCGCTGGGGAGGCTGAAGCAGGAGGATTGCCACAAGTTCGAGCCAGCCTGGGCTGCAGAGTGAGTTCAAGGCCAGCCTGAACCACATAGTGAGACCATCTCAAAAACAAAACAAAAACAGTGTTAAGAGGAAAGCAAACATGAACAAAAACATGTTACAAAGCCATATATACCATCTGGGAGCAGACAGCTATCTGCATCGTATTTTTAATGGGCTCACAGAATGTGCCCCCCCCAACCGTGGCATCACCACCTGCCTGGCCTCTGTGGGTGCCGTATGTGTGGGCTTCAGCCACTTTCCAGGGAAAAGCAGAGCACACCATGGGCAAAATTCCTGCCCGCCTCCCTGTTGGGCAGGGAGGGTCAGCACGGAGGACATTGTCCCACGTCAGGGGTGCCCTTCTCCATCTGTGTGTCTGAAGGATTTGAATCGAGCCCCTGCCAGGAGTGGTGGTGCAGCCCTGTAATCCCACCACTTGGGAGGCTGAGACAGGAGGATCGTTGGGAGTTCGAGGCCAGCCTGGGCTACAAAGTGAGCGTAAGGCCAGGCTGAACTGCATAGCGAGACCCTGTCTCAAAAAGACAAAAAGAAAAAAATGAATCGAGCCCCTCCGGCCACAGGTGTACAGCTCTGGGAGGCTGACATCCCAACCCGAGCCCTAACTCTCCACCCCCCAAGAGACCAGTAGATAAAACCCAGCATCGGCTCATCAGTGTCACTGTGACCCTCTGGGAGGTGTCGCAGTCCCCTGGACAGAAACAACCACAGCAGCTGGCTGCTGGTTGCTGTAGAGAGTTTGAGGGGAGCTGTCCGTGCCAGCCCAGAAGCAGCATGATGTGGGGGACGGGCCTCCTCAGGGTCTCACAGAGCAGGGCACTGAGGCTCCGCGCTGGGGGCAGAGCCGCTAGGAAAACCGGAAGCCACATGCAGCGTCTCCTGCAGAAACGTGTTCAGGCCCCTGGGGTTCTCCCTCGCCAGGTCGGGGGCAGAGCACATGCTGTCCCCTGACGGACGTTCGTTCTCGTCACCGTCCTGTCCGTCAAATGACACTGTCTTTCTCTGCTTCTTTCTCCAGTGCTCCGTGGAGTGTGGGAATGGGACACAGCAGCGGGAGGTGATTTGTGTTAGGAAGAACGCGGACACCTTTGCCGTGCTGGAGCCCTACGAGTGCGCCTTCCTGGAGCGGCCGCCCAGCCAGCAGTCCTGCCACCTCAAGCCTTGTGGGGCCAAATGGTTTAGCACGGAATGGAGCATGGTGAGTGGGGGCTCTTGATGGAGCCACGTTAAAGCCACTTCCCTACTCACCTTCCTTACCTGCCTCGGGGCTGGATTCCCATAGTGACCTACAACCTGCAGAGTCGGGGGAGACTCAAGGCTTGGATTACCTTGGCTTCTAAACTGGATAGGTCACACGCAGTTACTCCCAAGCTTCTCCGAGAATCTAGTCTGAAAAGACCAATTGTAGGCCCATCCTGGCCAAAAAACTTGTATTTTTTTGGTTTGGTTTGGTTTTTGTTTAGGTTTTTTTGGCGGGGGGTGGGGTTTTTTTTGTCTTTTTGAGACAGGGTTTCACTATGTAGTTTAAGCTGGCCTTGAACTCACTTTGTAGTCCAGGCCTGCCTCAAACTAGCAGTGATCCTCCTGCCTCAGCCTCCTGAATGCTGGGATTATAGGCATTCGCCATCACGCCTGGCCAGAAACTTGTATTGTAACAAACAGGACACAGGTGTCTTTGGCCTGCATTTTGAGAAACACTGCTGCAGAGGGATGAAGGTAGAAAGGATTTGACTAGCCAGTAAACTTAGAGATTAATTCATCTTAAAAATATTTCCTAGTTTCTACTGCTGAAAAAGCCTAGAAACAATGACAGATCCAGTAAGGAAGGGCACCCCTACATCTGGAAGGTGACTTTGAGAATCCATTGGCACAATAAAGAACCGGGGATTCTAAGAGGAATGGCAGATTCCAGATCTGGGAAGTGTTTCCCCACGCAGTAAGAAGTTACAGTAAGAAGTTCTAAAAGACAGCAGAGCTCACGTCCACAGCACTGAAGAGGCAACCCTTAGAGGCCCCCATTAGCCAGTGATGGCACAGCTTGAGCAGCAGTAAAAATGCTAACGACAGCAGACTTAAATGAAACACATTACACATGTTTCACCACATCCATCTGTAATAATTTTTAAAAACTAATAGGCACCACTATAGTATGTTAGAGAACCAACTTGTTCTAAAAAGTGGAATGTAAAGGAAAAGAAGTAAGCACTCACTCAGTCTTTTTCTTAAAAAAAAAAATGGTACCACTGGATAACCAAAAAGTAAACATGAGAGTGGGAGAAGTAGGATTCTTGAAAAGAAGAAACGATAGGATTAGAAAAATCACCGTCATCAGCTCCATATGAACCAATGGGTCTGGACACTGCATATCAATATGATGTCCACAGAATGGAGGCGAGCATACAGTTCTATAAATCAAACCTGCCCCTGTGAAGACCTCTTCTAGATCCAACTTCCAATTAACAGAAATACAGTAATACTTTGGTTCACAAACTTAATTCATTCCACAGTTCTGGGGAAGATGGCTGCAGTCATGTTCGTTGTCCAATGTGGAGCTCACAGATGGAAACAAAATTTTGCCAAATGCCTCTGTCTTCGAACCGAATTGTTCGTAAACATAAGCATTCGTGAACCGGTGTTACTGTACGGAGAACAGAAGCACACATTAAAAGACACCAGGGGGTTGCTGTCAGCAACATAGGACTCTAAGGAACTCTGCAGAACCCATGGCTCAGTTTCTTTGATCAAATAAAAACGACAGTAGTTATGACTGTAACCATTACACCACAGCTAGCAAAAGAGGCGGTACAAGAGAGGAAATCTGTGGATTAAACAAGGGAAAAAAAGACAGTCAGTTGCGATGTGCAGGCCTGATATGGATCCTGATTTCTACACCGAAAGAATCATTTTGAAAATCTGTAAGTTTCATGAGAAAAGTGGAAATAGGAATCCTGTATGTCTGAAGATAACAGGGAACCATTGTTAACTTTTAGGTGTAACAATGATGTTGTGATTTTTAAGGGTCTTTGTCTTGTAGAGGTACAAAGTAAAATCTATAGAAAAAATGTCTCTAGATCGGCTTCAGAACAGAATGAAAGTGGAACACGTGGGGGTGCATGGGCTCGGTTGGCACAAGTTGCTAGTTGTTGATGCCGGCTGACAGTTGCCTAGGAGTTTGACTGGCTACTGCATCTCCTTTTGGAAGGTGTTGGCTATTTCTCAGCATCCTCCCCGTTGGTGTGCAGAGCTGAAGGGCTGCTGGGTAACCTGACCTCCCCCTTTATTGCCACACAGTGCTCCAAGAGCTGCCAGGGTGGCTTTCGTGTCCGGGAAGTGCGGTGCCTGGCAGATGACATGACCCTAAGTAATCTCTGTGACCCTCAGTTGAAACCAGAAGAGAGAGAATCCTGCAACCCTCAGGACTGCATCCCTGAAATTGGTGAGTAGAGATTCCTGAGTTGGAGGAGAGGTCTGGGTTTTTTAAAGCTCTGCCAAGTTCTCTGTTGTAAAAATGCCAATTCCATCCGGGACTCCCTGTGACCTTGTGCACAGTGGCAGTGTTCAGAAGGTCAAAGCAGCTTTGAAATTCTTAGCGTAAGAATGTAAAATGACTGTTCACAGCACGGTTGGATATCCAAGCTGCCTAGCAGAAGACAAACTTCAGGACAAATTGATTAAAATAAAAATGAACATAACGATTCGATTCTGTCACCATCCTTAAGTGGTAAAACGTGGGGCTGGAGATGTAGGTCAGCTGCAGAGCTCTTGCCTACAGTGCTTAAGGCCCTGGCTTCAGTCCCCAACTCTGTGAAAAAAAAAAGAAAAGTAGTAAAATTTTGCCTTAATTGTCCGTGAGAGGGAGCCTGGAGACACCCGCATGCAGCTGGGAGGTCGAGGAGAGCAGGGAGGGCCAGGAATGGGGAGAGACGGTGACAGTCGAAGCAGGTTTCCTCAGTGCATAGCGCAGACCCAGGGTCCAGAGGACACAGTTGACTCAAGAAGTGGGCGGTGACAGTGGACAGCTGGGCTCCATGATGGATAGAGTCCTGCAGGGAACAGCAGCGCTAATTCAGAGGACCCCACCCGCCACCTTGAAATGGGACCCAGCTCCTCGGAGGACAGCACTGGTGAGAGCTGGAAGTCCAACTGAAGGTGCCCTGCACAAGACCTGGGCAAAGAAGGGTGCTATGAAGATGGCGAAGACACAGTGCAGAGTCACAATGGATGCCCAAGTGCCGCCCAGATCTACGCAGAATATTCTGCCAGGCTGCGTCAGGACTGGCTCCGGAACAGACATGCTAGACCCCCTTATCAGAACTCTTCCTGTCTCCACAGCAATAGCACAGGAAGCACGGATGTCACAATAGACTGTCAGGCAGTGGATTTCTCCTGCGATTTCAGTGAGCTGACCCAATGTGCTTTCCGTACCAGGAAAGTTGTGCTGTTTGCATAATGGGTGCTCTGTCATCAAGATCTTCCTGTGTGCCAGTAATAGCTACTAAGTAAAAGTTATGGGGGTGACTATTCCCAGAAAACCCCCCAAAACGTGCATTCCTTAGTATATTAGTTGATTTTCTATCATTGTGACCAAATAGCTGGGAAGAAAAACTTAGAGGAGAAAAGGTTTACAGTGGTACCTCAATTCATGATCGCTTTGGTTTGGAGCAATTTGGTTCACAACAGAAGCATTTGGCAAAATTTTGTTTTTGTTTGTGAACTCTGCATTGGGTGATGAACACAAGCACGGCCATCTTTCCCGCAAAACATGAATGTGGCCATCTTTTCCAGAATCGTGGAATGAATTAAGTTTGTAAACTGAGATTCCACTGTACTTGGGCTCAGAATTTCAGAAGTTTTAGCTGAGTTGCTGTGGGTCTGGGGTGCCGTGGAATATCACAATGAGATATCATGGTGGGACACCACAGTGGAACGTCATGGTGGAACATCATGGCAGAGTATCAGAATGGAACATCATGGTGGAACATTATAACAGAGGAAAACTGCTCACTATATGGAAGCCAGGAAGTGGAGTAGGAAGGAAAGAGCCAGAGCCAGAGAAAAAGATATAGTTCCCAACCTCATGTCCTTGCCATCCACCTCCTGTTTCTGTCACCCCCCAATAATGTCATGAAATCATGCCGTCACCCATGGATTAATCTGTGGATGAAGTGAGAGCCCTGGTGATCCTGTCACTGTTCTAGACCCCGCCTATGAGCACCGCTGCAATACATGAGTCTTTTGGGGATCACCTCTTATTTACCCCATAATGCACAGGAAGAAAATTAACAAGCAGCATCTAAGACTGGCAACAGAAAAATAATCAAAAAGTAAAAATAAGAAAACCGTGCTGTGGGACATAAAAGGAAACATAAGTGGATAGAATAACTAACACTTCCTGAGAACAAAGACTCAATATTTTAAAGATAATAAAAGAATTGCCTGCACAGAGCTTGCCTTGTGTATTGATCAACTCTTTGTCACTATAGCAGAACACCTGAGGCAAGCTAACTTTATAAATAAAAGAGGTTCACTTGGCTCACAGGCATCAGACTTTGGGGATTAAATGCTTGCATGAGTCAGGGGACAAACTATGTTCAAGCCACAGCTGTTTCCCAGGTATGCATGCATATGATGAAGCTACAGAAATGAAAACTACACATTACCAACGTAGACAGGGACGGGCATGCCAGTGTTACATACAGAATTCTGAAGCAGACTTCTTTACACAAGAGAAATTAAATGTGATAAAGGTTGAACGTTAAGTGAAGAGAGACTTCCACAGTATTGAAACAATCAAAGATCTGTTTAAAAAAAAAAGCCTTAGCTCTTATACCACGTACAAATAGCACACGTGCCTAATGGATTAACGATCCTAACATAAAACACAGTGTAAAAAATCAAGGAAAAAATATACATTTCTCTGAATTGGTAAAAAACTTTGTGAGACTCCAAACCATAAATGAGGCTATGTGTGAAATTAAAAACAATTTTCATGGTAAATCATCGTACCCGAAGTTGAAAGGAAGAGAAGGAGAGGGAGAGGAAGAGAACAGGAAAAATTTGTTAGAAAACATTTGAAGCCGGGCATGGTGGTGCACGCCTATAATCCCAGCACTCGAGAGGCTGAGGCAGGAGGATTGCCATGAGTTTGAGCCCCGTCTAGGCTACATAATGAGTTCAAGGTCAGCCTAAGTTGCATAGCAAAACCCTGTCTCAAAAAAAAAAAAAAAAAACCCCAGAAAATTAAAAAAAGAAAACATTTGAAACACATCTAAGGAGGAAAGGATGTGTTATAATCAACCTAAAAGACAGCAACCAACCAGGAAGGTTAGGAATAATACTGAAATAACTACCTTGGGTCCCTTAGCATTGCCAGGGCCACACAGGTGAAACTTTATTTGAATTTAGATCACAAGTTGCTATATTACTTTAAAAGTAATATAGCATATTATGAATGAACATTGAAAAGAAACATATATACAGTCTGCTTGTCTCAGCCCACAGACATGGATAATTCAAGAAGGTCGAAATTGCCAGATCTGTGGAATTGATTATATAAGTTTCCAAGCTCAGAGTGACTCATGTGTTCCGAAGCTCTGCCGCTCAGCTAGCAAGCGTTTGTCAAAAGTTTCTTACTAATTTCTCGTGATTTTTTTTTTAACCACCCCAGTTAGCTTGTCTATGGTATCTTTGCAAGGAGGAAAAACTGTTTGGCTTGATAAGAAATTGAATTACGGATAAAAGGGAAACGATAAGACCAACAAAGGAGAATATGTAAATACAACTTTGGTATTTTTTGATATGCCTTACAACTGCACAGTCAGAGACAAAGCAACTAAAAACACCCAGGGCCTGAGCCCAAGTTGTAAACTACAGAGCGCATACCGTCCAGGGGCTTCCTGGCCAGCTCTGAAGGTAAAGAAAGTAGGTGTATATTTTGGTTTTAATGCTAAAGAAGAAAATAGTATGTGAGTATAGGGTTTTTTTAAAAATTTGCAAACATTATTACGATTTTTCATTTTATCCCAAAAAGCCATTACTAAATCATCTAACAACTGAAAACATTTTAGAATCAAATAAATGCCATTCAGGTAGACAAAACATTAGATCCCTAATATACACAGAGCTCACTCAAATTAATTTTTTTAGAAAGCCAAGTGAATAAAATGAAAAGATAAAAATAAAAGCGAGCGATCCGCTTTTGTAAAAGATGAGAGACTTAAAGAAATCTACCATAAGAAGCTGAAAAAAAATACTTAAGCAGCTAGTATTAGAAATGCAAATTTAAACAAGCACAGGAGCATCTATTTTTCTGTAAGATCAGCAGATTCTTTAAAAGTGAGCTAATCTTCTCTGGCAGAGTTGTGGAGGAAGGGTCAAGCTCTTTGGCCTTTTTGGAGAGATCAAAATCTCGTTATGTTCAGCTTCTAGGAATTTATACTAAAGGTTTGCTCTTGAAAATGTACAAAATACACAGATACATAAAGAACAGGGCTCAGGGGCTGGGGATTTAGCTCAGCGGCAAAAGCGCCTGCCTGGCAAGCCTGAGGTCGTGAGTTCAATTCCCGGTATCAAAAAAAAAAAAGTCTCACAAACTGGGTCTTAAATTTATATACAAAAGCAAGAGCCAGCAGGGCATGGTGGTACAGACCTGTAATCCCAGCACTCAGGAGGCTGAGTCAGGAGGATCACCATGAGTTTGAGGCCAGCCTGAGCTACACAGTGAATTCAAGGCCAGCCTGAACTAGATTGTGAAAGCTTGTCTTAAAAAAAACAATGAATGAATGAATGGATGGATGAAAAAACACTGTAAGCTGTTGGCACACACACACACCTCACATAGGTGATAAACAGCAGAGCCAGAATGAAAAGCTGCACCTGCTTCCCTTACTTTCCGCTGGTCCCGGCTTGTTTTGGGCTCAAGCAGTCTCTTTTGCTGTCTTCCCTGCAGATGAAAACTGCCAGGACAAGTACTACAACTGCAACGTGGTGGTGCAGGCGCGCCTCTGCGTCTACAACTACTACAAGACGGCCTGCTGCGCGTCTTGTACCCGGGTAGCCGCCAGGCACACTGGCTTCCTGGGGAGCAGATAACGCACATCCCTGGTCCTGGGGTGCTGCCGGCCAACGAAACGTCGTTACCACCCTCAGCTCTGGCCACATGTTCCTTGGGTGCCGGGAGCTCGGTGCCAGGGTGTTAGAAAACCACAGCAAGCCCCTTCCACATTGCCATGGACTCAGGACCCTGAGGACCCGGCCCCTGAGAACAGTGCGCTCGCAGCCCTGGTGTTGAGCAAGTGGGCGGATGTTCCTGCCGGGTGCTCCTGGCTTCTCCAAAGTGAGCACCCCCTGGAGGTCAGAGGAGGCAGCGCCCCCGTCCAGACTTCCTAAGCCGCGATGACACATGCACCCCTCTCTGACCTCAGCCCACTGTGCCTGTTTTTACTCCCAAAGCCATCAGCCCGTCTTCCTGCCTTAGGACACCTAACCTCACGTCTGGGGCGCTGTCTGGTGCTGCAGCCGGTGTACTCCCTGATGCCAGCTCCTTAGCGTCCCAGATGGGAGGCGGCAGATGAGTCGTTCTCCCACTGTTTTTCTGACAAGGAATCTGAGGCCCAGCTCAGGATCTGCCATGTGGGAGAGCTGAGTGCCTGCCCGGTCGCCTGCCCACAGCCCTCACCTATCCCAGTCACCACATGGGGGCTAAAGGAGGCACTTTCCTTTCCAGCCAGGAGGCTGAGACGTTTCCCACCAGCAAACACAGCCAGGATTCAGCCTCTTCCCTCCACAGTGGGAAGGCCAGGCCCTCTGTCTGATGCCAGGGACGGCTCCGGCTTCCCTAAATCCATCATCAACAGAACAGTGCTGGGGACAGGACAGCCACAGTGGGAGCCTGGGGGTGCCTGATATTCTGGTTCCAGCCCAAGTGACACGTCCCTCTCGCCGTCCTCAGCCATCTTTCTCCGTGCCTTGCGTGGCCGGTGCAAGGTCTAGCCTGTGGGTCCCGCAAATACTCCAGGTCGTATTAGAAAGAGTCTCACTTTGGTCTTTCTGGAGTGCGTTACGGCTTTTGCTCTGTGCCTTCTAACCCTCCCCTCACCACATGACTCACAGCCGTCACCTCCCGTAGACTTGACCAAGATCCGTGTCCCTGCAGCCAGCCTGGAAGGAGCCGTGAACACTACATCCGGTCTCCCAGCTCATTTCACCCAGCAAGGGAACCGCAGAGGCCTCTGGCCTGAAGTGGGGTGCACTGCACCTTGAAAAGTGAACTAACTAAAAAACAATTCAATTTTTTTTTCTTTCATCCATCAGGAAGAATATCAGGCTAAACAACTGTGGACTTGTAAATGTCTCCCGTTTTAGGTCCTGGGTGTATTTCCCTTTCAAAGCAAGCCTTACGCTTACCTGAGCATTTTGACTGGAAACCCTGCGAAGATGATGAGGATTTGCAGAGCTCTGGGCCCTGTCGGGCTCACCCGCTTGCATCCCTCCAGCCTCAGGCCTGCAGGAGCTCTGGGTGGTGCTCTGGGGGGTGTCCTGCCTGCTCCTGAACCTGGGGTGCCCAGGTGCATTTCCTGGGGCGTCCCAGCCTCTGCCTGCATTCCGGCCCCGGCTGCAGCACTACAGGGCACAAGGAGACCAGAGACGCCCAGAAATGCAAGTTTCTGTCCTATGCCTGTCCCTTACTCGGGCCTAGTCTGCCTTCTTGTTTTTCCGAACGCTGTGCCTTCAGGGCCTGCTGAACAAGCAGCCCTTGCGAGCTGCTTGGAGAGTTTTTCTCCACACGTAGGGGCCACCAAGGCCAGTAGGTACAGAGAGGAGGCTGGTTTAGCACAGGCAAAGAATAAGTTCTAGCAATCAAAGTCACCCACGAAGGGTGCAGGCCACCACACCGAGGGAGCTCTCTGTCTCCAGAGACCTCGCTGACCTGGGGGAGAGGAACACCGCCTCAGTCCTTCCAACTCAGGAATTCTTGCTCCTGGGTGGCTGTGTCTCTTTGGCATCCAACACTGTCCCCAGCAGTGTTACCTAACCACTTCTCTGAGAGGACGGGTCCTCCCAGGACCTGGCCATCCTGCTAAGGGTGGGGTTGGGCCAGCCCATGCCTTCACAGGGAGAAGAGGACCCCAGCTAGGGGCCTTTTTCTTTCCAGCAAACAATCGAGCTATTCTTGGGGTTCAGCATAGTTGGGACCAGGTGACTAGAACAGAGGCTTTGTCAGCTTGCAGTCTGAGAAAGCCGATCCACGCCTGTTGCGCTGTTCTCGTTTGGCCCCTAACCACGTGTTCCTGCTGCGCAACGCGGCCCACGGGGACTTGGGTATTTGCGGCGATCCCTTTCCGGGGCGGAGTCTAAGGAAAGCCCACCTCGGGGCGCTCTCCCTCCAGACAGTGCTGTCTCCTTTCCCAGCACCCCTTTCCTCCCTGTCCTCTCATCACCCACCAGCGCCTTCCCAGGCGCCAATGTGGAATGGAAATTTATATGTTCATACTGCCCTCCCCCCCCATAGTGTATTGCCTTATTCCCTGCTCTGAATTTTAAAATTAGATAAATTAAAGCTATTATGGGTTTTCCCTCTGAGAACTCAGCACAACCCCAGACAGAAATCGTGCCTCTCCCAGCCTAGGCGAGGGCCACCTCCTGACCTCCGTCCTTCCCAGCCCGAGGGCCACCTGCAGGTCCAGCCCTTGGAAAAAGGACCGGAAATATCGGACGCTGCAAAGCTCCTTGCATGCCCACCGCTAGAGGGAGCCAATTCCCTTCAGTGAAGGTTTGCGGTCCGCCCAGCTGATGGGAACACCTAGGACGGGAGCTCTCAGAACCGTCCCTGTCTGTCCCTCTGCCTTCCTGCTCCGTCTCAGGGCTCTTTGGGGTGTTTTTCTTCATTTCCCTTAGTATCTACCAGTCTCGCATTCCCAGGGTAGCTTTATGAAAGGACAGAAAATGGGAGACACTAGTTTGACTTGTTTTTACCAGGCGTGCTGTTTGACACCAAGAGAGCTCTAGATATTACTGTACTAAACTAGTGTGTTCACTTTTTTTCCATTAGTATCGCTCGGGTAGAGTTGGGATAACAATTTTTAAAAGAGAAAGAAAACATACATCGAAGTGATAAGAAAGACAACCAGAAGTTAAACCAGATTGAATAATCTAGATCAACCCAGTAGGTGGAGACCAGCATCCCGTCCTTGCCATTTTTAACATGGTTTAGATGGAGAAATAGACACTTTACCAGAAAAGAAACTGATTGATATGAAATTGGAGAGCTAATGGCTTAGCTAACAGGTGCTGGATCTAAACAGATCACAAGACTAGATTAAAACCCAGATCTTAACAACTCACAGGGAAGCAACAGAAAGACCTACCTTTGGATTTTTGAAAAACTATACAAGTAAAAGGTGAAGAGATGTGTTTCAGTTGACAAAACTCAAGGAAGGGGGATGGAGCCACCAAAATTGGAAACTCACAGGATGTTTGGGTGGTATGAGAACACATGGGCACCACGTTTTGTCTGGGACCACACTTCGGGAGACTGTTGACCGTGTGTAACATCCAGGTGGGGAAAACCAGGTGGTTGGCTAGAAAGAGCTGGAAGGACCTCGTGAGGGTGTGGAGCCTGCAGAAGGTTTGAGCACCATGAGAGCCATCCTAGGCCCGGGAGGGAGAAGCTACAGGGAGCCGGATGTTTGCTCTTGCAGGAGAACCAAGCATCAGTGTCAGAGGCCAGGTGGTGACTGGCCCATCCTTGGAGGTGTCTCCAAAACCACATGACCATGTGTCAGGATATAGGAGAGGGTCTCAGACATCTAGCTGGGCATCACGGTGTTCAAGGTCATTTCCAATTCTGGGCTGTGGTGATTATGTTACTAGAACAACTTTGTGTGGGCTCTGAGTGTGACCCTCGTATGTCCTGTCCCATTTTGCCACCATATCTGCCATTTCAGACCCATCGATGCTTCCGTCCCCTACGCTGAATGTGGCCTTGTATCTCAGAGAACCACTGGCACCTTGGCCAGAGCTGCCCTGTGTGGTCCTGTGTCACAGAAAACGCAGATATGATGGGACCAGGGAGGCGGTGCGTCCGTTAGCCAAGAGCCCTTTACCTCCCACCTGTCTCTCTCGGCTCGTTTCTTTCATCCACCTCTGCTGGGACAAAGTGATTCTCTCTGCCATGAACCAGGCCCGGTTCCTGCTTCTCCCCAGATTCTCCTTGTGCTATGGCACAGTGACCACTGGATGGTGGCACCTTCCGGTCAACATTCTCAGCGTCTTCCAGACCGTGAGCCCCTGCGCGGTGCCAGGAAACCCCTGCTGGTACCTAAAGGAACCCCCACCTGCCTCGACCCCCTGCTCCCCCTGCAGTTTGACAGAAGGATATACTTTGTGATAACTTATTATGTTGTTCTTTGTAAATACAAGATGTTTATAGGAAATATGTATTCTGATCTCTATCTGCAGAATAAGTCACTACACCAAAATAGTTCTATAATTTAGAGTATGTTAATTTTAAAGGGACCGAATAGGTATTTATTTGCATATACCATCCACACTTGTATAAAATCATCTGACCATACTAACCAGCTTCCTGGAATGTTGCTACCCCACACTGCCTTATTCTAAGTCCATTTTTACCATCATTTAGTACTCGGACGAGTCAAACTCCTTGGGGTTTAAGATTGAATATAAATTACTCTCTTTTTGACTGGTCAGGGCTTTCACCAGGGCATCGCTCCTGGACGTGATTGCCATCTTTCCATTTTTAACATTGTATTTCCTCATATAATCTGCCCACTCCTTGTCCCTACACATCTGCAGGACACAGGGCCTGTCCCACAGCCTTCTTGTCCTCCTTGTGTCTCCTGCTACTAGGCCCGCCAGGGTCAGAGCGGCAGATCGGGCGGGGAGAGGCTTGAAGGCCTGTGGCTCCAGTAGTCCCTGCTGGGGACCGGGGCCAGGGTGACAAGGTTGTCCTGTGACTGTGGAGCCAGGAGCAAGAGGCAAGGAGCCCACCGCACACTCCGTCCACCCCAGCTCCTGGGCGGTGTGAAACTGTTACATAAGGAGTGGAGAGTAGGTGGTGGATTATACGAGTAAATGTGGCCTGTTTTCAGGAGAAATGACAACTATTTTTGTGTATGACTAATTTATTTTTATTGTAAAAATACAATAAAGTGGTTAAAAGATCTGCGGCGTTAACGTGTGTGTTTTCTCTGACCTTGTCCATGGTCTATCCTCATTGTTTCCAACAGCTCCCTCCAAGAAAGATTCAGCTGTCTCAAGCGCAGCTGGCTCGTCACATGAGGGCTTTGGGGGCTGTCTGTGTGGCTGGATCAGTTAGGGCCCCAGAAATACCTTCAGTAAAAAGAACCTCAGCCCGTGGTGCACACCTGTAATCCCAGCACTCGGGAGGTTGAGGCAGGGGAATTGCTCCAAGTGCAAGGTCCACCTGAACTATAGCAACACCTTGTCCCCCATCTGAAAAAAAGTCTTCTGTAAAGTCGAGATTCAAGGACTTAACCTGTCCCTTTACTCTTCCAGCCACAGGGGGTGAAATGGTTTCAAGCCTTTCTGCCCGGTGTTACATACAATTTAACTTTGCTCACCAGATAACCTGTGTGTCATTGAGGCATTCATTTGGCCATGCATAAAAGCAAACCTGACTGCTTAGGTTTGGGAATTCGTTTCTCTTTTATAACAAATCTGGAGGGAGACAGTTGTTGGCACTGGTTCAAGAACTCACGGTTTTAAGGGCCTATGTCTCTGGCATTCTCTTGACCCCTCCCTCGTGGTTGCAAGACAGCTTATACTGCTCCAGCTGTCACATCCATCTTCGGGGAAGAACATAGGAAGGGCAGTTTACAGCTGCATTTGTCTCTCCTTACCAAGAAAGCAAACACAGTCCCAGAATCCCCTCCTGTACCTGGCCAACTTCTTCTTAGATCATATTGGCCAAAGATGGGTTCAGTGGCTATTCTTACCTGTAAAGGAATGAAAAGAATTAAGCTATGTTAGGTACAGGTAACCCACCCATAAGATGAATGCAAACATTATGTACTGCTAACATGTACTAATCAGAACATTTTAAAAAGAGCTCACTTATTCTGGTGGGGGGCGCACGAGGGAGCAGCAGGCGGTCTGAATGCGGAACGTTCCGGCTCTGGGAGTCAGGGCATCAGCTCCTTATTGCCGCTGAGTCAGTCTCCCAGGTGCTCCAGGTGCCCCTCAGCATCCACAGCCTCCTGCCAGCCAGGCTCCTCCCACTTCCTGCTCCCGGTGGCTCCTTTCCTCCGGAAGTCACCTGCCTGCCTGCTGGCCCTGCTCCTTTCCTCCTTTCTTTTCCGACTCAAGTGTGACACAGTAAAGCCACCTGACCAGGAACAACTGCAGGACGGCACCGGTGTGAGGATGGCTCCTGTCACCGGCAGGTCCTCCACATTTAACCTGACAGTGGTGCCCAGTTTTAGCTCGCAAATGACTTCCTTGCTTGTTGCTCCCCAGATCCTTCAGGCAGTTGCCCATAGAATACAGAAAAGCAAAAGTCTGGTCAAAGACTCTCTCGGGCCATTCTGCCAAATCATCTCCACAGTTCTCCAGGGAACACAGGAAATCCTTTCTAAGGAATGCTGTATTTCACTGCCAAGGCTACGTTCCATGACTCAGTGTGACCAATCCTTTCCATTCAGCTCTCATCTTCGGATGGTTATGGTGTGGCAGGGGCGCTACCGTCCCGGTCTGTGCAGCAGGACAACAACACAACAGGTGTTCTGATGGAACAGGCTTATGGCCCCCATTACAGGCGCTCCCCTTTGGCACTTGGGCAGAGAGGACAAAACTGTGCGTTAAGCACTGGACGACTCTGCCAGAATCTGTCCCTAAGTTGTAAATCCTATGCTGAAGATGCATCAAGGTACTAATAAAGTCTGCAGTTTCCAATTCTTTCCAAAGATGCTAAAATTTGGGAAATGAAACATGCTATGAAGTGGGCCAACTGCTCACAGACAGGTGTGCCGGTGTGGTGGCCTGGTGGGTGGTGGGAGAGGGCGGAGGTCCCACTGTTGTGTGCTTAGCGGGGTAATAAGCACCAGCTGGGAGGGAACACGATCAGAACAGAGGGGTGGACGGAGGCCACCAGCAAGGGACAAGCAGTCTTGGAGCCGAGTTTCTGCTGGCTCTTGTCCCTTCAGGGGAAGCTGCTTAGCTTGGGCACTCGGGGAAACAGCGCCTGGATCAGGGTTCTCAGTCACGTCACGCCCTTGAAAACCCTTCCTTCATCAAACGCAGCACCTCTTCCTTCTCTCTCTTTCTCTCTGCCCAGAGTCGCCCAGTTGATCTTAACCTCTTGGCCAGCAGGGAGGGCGACGGCGGTTAGCAAGAGCCCCAGGCCTGGGCGCTGCTCTGAGCCATTGGCACCAAGGGACCCAGGGGAACCTTGCGCTCACTTAGTCGCTCAAAAACAATTAGGCTCTGTCTGTGTGTCCAGCCTCTTGATGACACAGACAGGATTTCTGTTCTTGAAGCTCGTGTTCGTGGCAGAGGGCACTGGTGGGCACTGATAATCCACGATGATGACCGGAAGGGGGGCTAAGCACACCCAGGCCCGGGGGCACACACACCACATGGCGTGGAAGTGTGGGCAGAGGGGAGGGGCGTTGCAGGCTGCCAGGACCGGGTGTAGGTGGGGAGGGGAGGGAAGCACTGGGCTTACACCCACATGGCATCTGGAGTCTTTACAGAGGGGTCCCAGCCTCAAACTCCACACCCCAAGGCTCTCTGCCTCACCCCCAATCTACCTGCCACGGAAGGTGTCTCTAAGGAGGGACAGGCAGAAGGGGCTTGGACCAGAGAGTGCGCCCAGAGGGTGTCCCAGGGTCAGCCAACAGCCTTCCTGTCTCGAGTTTCATGGGGTCATCTTGTATGCACGTACATATTTTAACAGTGTCTTTTTTTTTTTTTTTTTTTTTGGTCTTTTTGAGACAGGGTCTCGCTATGCAGTTCAGGCTGGCTTTGAGCTCACTTTGTAGCCCAGGCTGGCCTCAAACTCGCAATGATCCTCTTGCCTCAGCCTCCAGAGTGCTGTGATTACAGGCATGTGCCATCACGCCAGGCTGCACGTACATATTTTAAACTAACATTTTGTGTGAAATTTCAGTCACAAACAAAATTAGAGCTAATAGGGCAGAAAAAGCTGGGTGTGGAGGTGCACACCTATAATCCTAGCACTCAGGAAGCTGAGGCAGGAGGATCACCAAAAATTGGAGGCTGCCCTGGGCCACATAGTGAGTCCCGTATGAGACCCTACGAAAAGCAAACAAAAAATAGGCCAGGGAAACCCATGTGACCATCCCCTACATCAACCCTCAGCTGCAGTTGTCAATTTAGCCACGCCTGACTTTTTTTTTTTTTTTTTTTGAGACAGGGTATCCCTGCTTTGCTCAGGCTGGTCTCTTATTCCTGAGATCAAGCGATCCCGCCTTAGCCCCAAAGTAGCTAGGATGGCAGGAAAACGTGTCGCTGCCGTTTATTTATTTAATTTAAAAAGAAAACAAACTTTTCTACTAGGTGGCACCCATCTGTAATCCCAGTTTTCTGGGAGACTGGGGCAGAGATAAATAAGTGATAGACCATCATTCCCGCTAAAGAAACATAGAAGATCTGTAAAATTTGAAAAAAACTTTATATTGTATATTGCATTATATGTGTTGTATGTTTATATTTATTTAAATATATGTTACATATAAAAATATATTACATTTAGTGTCAGTCAGAATGCCTCTGAGAACTAGTTCTGGTTTTTGTTTAGTGTTTATACTACTTTTTCCTTGTTATTTTTCTGTCTTTTTGAGGCAGGGTCTCGCTATGCAGTTCAGGCTGGTCTTGAACTCACTTTGTAGCCCAGGCTGTCCTCGAACTCACATAGATCCTCCTGCCTCAGCCTCCTGAGTGCTGGGATTATAGGCATGCGCCACGATGCCTGAATGTTCCTTGTTATTTCATCTTAAGATTTTTCTTACAGGGCTGGGGATTTAGCTCAGCGGCACAGCTCCTGCCTGGCAAGCACGAGGTCGTGAGTTCAATTCCCGGTAACGGAAAAAAAAAACTAAAAGATTTTTCTTACATATAAAACCCCTTCCAGTGGCAGATAAAGCCATCTTGGAAACATGCCAGCGAGTATTTAAAAACCGTATGTAGCTGTTTCAGTGCCTGGTGACTGACAGCAGCATCTTGCGTATCACGATGCCAACCGAGCTGGTGCAAGCAACTGTGAAAAAGCACAAGGTTGAAAGGACAGAATCACACTCTGGGAGGGTGAGGCAGGAGGACTGCGCATTCAAGGTCAGCCTGGGCAACCTGGTGAGATGATGTCTTAAAAAAAAAGGGCTGGGGATGTGGCTCAGTGCAAAGGCCTTGGATTCAATCCCCAGTATAAAGAAGAGGAGGAGGCAGAGGCGGAGGGGAGGGGCCTGCAGTAAGAAGGCTGTGCGTCTGAAGCGCTAGGCTGAGTTCAGAGAGCTGGGTGACCTTTGTGGCGGGAACAGGGCCACTCCCCGTCCTGTACCCCGGCTCTTAGGACAGCCAGGAGCTCGTGCATGTTCTGAGACGTTTTCTAAAGAACAGGCGCTTCCCTTCATGGAAGGGCGCTGGATACTGCGGCCAAATTAATAAGTGTAGCTGATAAAGCGTGTCGGAAAACACAGCTGATGCGGTATCAAAGTCACACAGGAGAATACACACCAGGTCACGCTTGAATACGGACTTACAGGAACGGTTCCACTTGGGACAGTTCTGTAAACCCTTGCAGCTGTCATGACGTTGCCTGGGACCTCAAAAATAAACCTCGACAGACACAGGGCAGGGTGACATCCTTGTGCTTTGAACTGCAATTTTCCTGCCTCAGCCTCCCAGGTGGCCAGCATTATAGCCATGTAGCCTCTACCCCAGCTAAGGACAAACTGCCTTGTTTCTCCCCAATTTAGGACAGACTGGGCCCTTCCAGTTCTGCCCCGGCCTTTTGTCGCTTGCCAAGGGCCGGGAAAGCTGTGCAACGAGATCTGATTATTTCTCAATGTTATCTTGGGGGAGAACAGAGGAGCTTTGTTGAGGACACTCCCCGCTGGCTGGCGTCTGTCTTTCTGGGTTCTGCGCCTTGCACTCTCTGCTCTAGAAAAAGCAGCCACTGGGGAGAAC